GTCTGCCATTTTTCCAGTCTTACTCCTAGATCTGCAACTCTTGTCATGTTTAAACAATCTAAAACGGTAAAGGAGCGCTTTTGTGGTTTGCGCATGAAATATTTAAAGCAGGTTCATAGATAAAAAAAAAAGTGTATATTCTAATTTCTGTTTTGTGCAGAGTTGCTTGCAGTCAAATGTTTAAAGATAAATTATGCCTTCTCTCAATTAACTGTTTTCCATTCTTTGCCTTTCATTCTGCTCTGTTAAGACGGTCACTCTTACATGGCCTCTGATAGATAACAAAATGAGATTGGATCTGTGAAAAAGGGATAAAGTACTCAAGGAGTTGCACAGCTTGCATGCCTTTTGCTCAACGGGGCACTTACTGGGATATTTCCTCAGTGAAGCTTTTTCTAAAGGGGCTTGCTTTGCCGTTCTTGCTAAGGGCAGTACAGTGGGTCAACTGCCGATAGAGTTACAACTTTTCCTTTGTGGAGGTGTGGGACAAATTGGACCTCACAACTGTTTACCCAGTCTTACAAGGACAGCTGTATCTCTCCGCCCACCCAAACCTGTCACTGGTTGTTGTTCCTTTGGGAAACCATCTGTGAGGAATAAGCAGGCACAATGATCAAATGACTGTTCCAACAGTTTTACCTCTGCCGCTGCTAGGGATGAAGCAAAACACTGACTGAGCTCCAAGAAGTCTGCAATCCAGTAACAAATATGGAATATAATTCTATCTGAATATTGGTAAATGTTAAAATGTCTTTTTTTAAAGAGCTCTAGTTTCTATCAATTAAAAGCACAAGCGTTTGATATTCTTGATGTTATTTTAGAAGTATTAAGATTTTGTTTGATAAGCTTGTGTGGATTGATTCATATTTAATACATGGCTTGAAATATTAAAAATGTTTGTACTGTTACAGTTTAAAGACCTAAGCGTGTCTACAAACTATAAGAAACTTAAATGCACTAAAGGTACATGCAGTAATAACACGACAAGCCGTTTTAGACAGATAGAAATATTATGTAGGGCTCTCTTGAAATTGAGTCCTCGTGACTCAGTGAGACTAACCTGTATAATTAAAAGCTGATTGAATGGAAGGTTTAACCTTATAAAACAACTGCCCAAAAATACAGTTAGTATAAACTGCACACAGTACAGCGTGTTAGAGATTCGACAAAATGCTAAACAATCCTAACTTGATTGAAATGCTTGTAAAAAGTTAAAGTGCTTAGTCATTTTGAGCTATTGTAACTAAGTTTCTTTCCACTGCTCTTTATCATCATTCTTGTTACAGTCAGCTTCTTATCAGTCTAACCTCTGGTCAAACAAGCCTTGGAGAGCAACACAAGTAGGATCATCTGTTTAAAGCGTCTTATTTTAGTCAACAAACAGTTCATATTTAGCACCAATGTTTCCATCATGTTTTAAGAAAAAAGGACAATACTTTCCCATTGAAATTTTTTCCCGCCACAAAAATTCAAATGCTGGACAAGTCACCATTGTAAGTATTTTCTATGGTATTAATGGTATTCAATGAACTAAAAGGACAAAACTACTTAACCTTGTTGTAACTGATTGGGTGCGTACTAGTGTACAGTTGTTGTCAGAGGGTAAGTCAGATTCTATCCAAACATATAAATGTCTAATCTGATTTTATTAGAAGCTGTATTTTTGGCTGCAACAGTGCTGTATTTTAAGTGGATTTGAACAAAAGGGTTGAAATGTTTACATCTCTTTTGTGTCTTTGCAGAAGTCTGTGCTTTGTGTTTATCTACTAAAAATAGGTTCTTTACTCACTACCAAACACACAAAAACCAACATAATTTTCACTATTCACTTATAACAATAGTACATTTTTAAAGAATCGCTGAAGTGCTCCGGTGTTGCTGTGTTTTGTATTTAAGGTCTGCAGCACAAAGAAATTTAATGCCTGTCACCACATTGATTTTATTACTCTTTCCTTTACTGCAGTTTTTTTGTGCTGAGCCTACTTATCCGCCAGCTTCTTTATTACAAGGGGAGATGAAAACCATAAATGTTGGAGTGCATCATTTGCCGACACGCAGTGCGCTCTCAGGTGAATGTACTTTAAAACATAGAGGAAAACGATACTTTTTATCGCACTAGTATATTATCTTGCCCACCGTTCTCAAGTTTGTGACTCTTGGTTTTTACATCTTCTGTGGCACTAAATCGACTCACCACAAGTTCTACATTTAAGACAAATTGTCCCAAAAATGTAACGGATACCTTCTTTTTCTAATTTCTTTTAGCATAGGAGATCGGATTAAGAGTTTAAAATATTAGTTGGTAATTTTACATTTCTTATTGGAAGATACTTTTGCATTATGGTACTATAGAATGTTGCTTAAAATAAAATAAAAGTTTTCTTTGGTAGTTTTACACATTTATGATTTTTAGTACCCTCATTATAAATGTAATGGGCACTTTAAAGCCAGATTCACACTGCAATTTTTGATCTTTATTAGTTTTTCATTGTTATTATTATTTTTAATATTTGGTCATTGGCTTTTGTTCAGGAGTTGATATAAGCTTTTCCCGTTTGTCCGAGACAACCCATTTTCATCTGGGACAGCCAGATCTCGCCTGGATCTGGTTGTCCAGTGGACAACCAAGTGAAATAGATATGCAGTGTTTCCCCTAGATTACATGCCATGACAGGGCACTCATCTCAACCGTGATTTTTGTCGACGGGGGTGGAGTGGAGACGGAGACACGTCTGAGCTACGCGCAGTTTGTACAAACAGTTTTGAGCCGGGGTGGGGTGTTCAGCGTCACGCTGCCTCTAGCTTCTGAGTTAGCACGCCTCTAGCTTTGCACTACGTCGGTGCCGGCAGTTGATGACCGGGGGGAGGGGATTGTAGTTCTGTTCAGTAGGCAGAGTGCTCAGTTCTGCTGACAGGGCGGCTCGCCCTGCTTGTATAATGGTAGGGGAAACACTGACATGGATTAACGTTCTCCGTCGACACAACAGATTTCCTTCATTTTGAACGTCTGTAAAAATGACAGGTGAAAAAACGTGTTTTGTTGTCTTTATATAGCCATCCATCTAATGATGATACAGGGATTAAACTGATGCTACTTTTAACAAATAGAGAGAACCAGAGCCACAGTTTGACCCAGTCAGAGCAGAGCAGGGCGGGTTGTGCTGTCTGATACACAGCAGTTGTGTGCTATGTTCCCAACTTGGAGAAAAACTGCAGGTGAGAGCACCTATCAGTGTTTCCTGAATTATTTTCCAAGGAGGACACCTCTCTACCATGTCTGAAGGTGATGACATGTAATAAATTATTAATTGCCTATGTATTAAATGTGTTCGTACGTGACCAATTCACTGCAGCTGGGGGAGATAATAGAACTGATACTGTTACCCCGCCTCCTTCTCCTGCACCGTGCCCCGACCTCCCCGGGACTTATGTATTTAAAGTGTTCGGAGTGCCGTCATCACCGTACAGATGTGCAGTGTGACCCAACGAGCATGACCAAACTCTGGGTTCGAGAGAGAGAGAGTGTGATACCTCGGGAGTGCGCTCAGCCTGGGTGTTTCTCAGGGTGAGGGTGGAGGCAGTGTCTGCTGATTTAGTTCTTATAATTAAACAATTTTAACGCTAAAAGACAAATATTTATATGTCCCAGATTATAGCAAAGATGTATGTCTGTTTCGTTCTGTGAGAATCAGGTTAATGTGTTTTTAGTTCATATAATCTGTAAATTTCAATTCTACGCTGTTTCAACAACAACAAGGTGTTGTGGCTGTTTGGATGGGCTAAAGTTGATTATTTACTACCATCCTGAGAGGTTGTACTGTCATAAATACAATTTATTAAATAAATTAATTTTAAGTCAAGTCTAGTTAAATTATATTCTTGATTTACATAATTATTATAAATAATAATTAAATAAATTAAATTTAAATTGTAAATTATTATTAAAGCAATTTATTTATTGAATTGCATTTTTAAGTGGGTTTTTTTTTTTTTTTACCGTAAAGGTTTGGGACAACCAAAAATTTTGGCGGACGACCAGATTCTGTCACGGTTATCTGCTGGACAATCTGGACATTTTCCTTATTTCAACGTTGTTCATTGTGATAGGCTCACCAACAGCTAAATCAGCACACTTCCAACCAAATAATAACCAAGGACAAACATCAGTTAGTGTCTACAGTTTTTGGAAAAAGTTTTTTGTGTGAATGCTGTTGTAATTGACGTTCTTTTATTAGCCATTGCTGTTGTTTTTCTTTTTCCTTCTTTTTCGTCTTTTTATACTCTCAATATAATCATAGGAGCATTAACAACATAATTAGACTGGTCTCTCTGTTCATAGTTTGCAGCATTTGACATTGAGCAGTGTGACACAGGTTACTATCAAGGTTTTGTAATGACAAGTTTGCACAAAGGGATATGTACAAATCTTTTAAATATTTCACAGGATGCATCAATCTCAAGTGTTTTTATTTCCCAAAACCTGGTTACCTTATATACTGTGTGAAAGGTATGTAACAATATACAACAACCAGTTTTTTTTCCTTCCCTGAGCTGCATATTGGGTTATTCATGCTTTTAAGCCTGTTAATATAGGATCACTGTTGGGCTCTTGAGTTGAAAAGGCACAGCTCCATAAACCATGTGGGGGGGTGTTGGACAAGCTACTTCTTCTTTATCAGCAGTAACACTATCAGTGGTGCCTTGTGGAAAGAGAGCCAGTCATTCAGAACAGTGGGGCCGCCGTGGTTGTCAAAGCAGGATTTAGGCTACATTTCCCATGGTTGCCATGACAACGGTGGGAAGTGATTATGAAGAGTGGGTTTCGAAGCGGAGCTGTCACACCATTGGGTATTACCATAGTGGTTTGCACAGCAATCATCAGAGAATTACTGGCTCACGATCAAACGTTTGTTTTAAAATGAAACGCTGTTCTGTCTTGATGTTTTTTCTATGTCTAAATGATTTGATTAAAATGTGTCTTTTCTCTTCTTTTTCTCCAGGGCACAATGTGGTTAAATGGGACAGAGACGAGTAGACCGTGAAGATTCTCTTACCCTTGCCTCTGACTCCCAACCATCTGAGAGGGTGTCGGACCTCACTGAGGCATTCCTGGGCCGTTGGCACTAAAATGTCCCTAAGTGGTTGCACTGCAGGCGGGAAAGGTGTGGACACTAATGCGGAAGACCCTTACGACAGCGGGGATGAGTGGGATATTGGTGTTGGAAATCTGATCATTGACCTCGACGCTGATTTAGAGAAGGACAAACTTGAGATGTCTGGCACCAAGGACGGCATGGCGGCACCACCCAGTGCAGTGGCAGCATTGCCTGACAACATAAGGTTTGTTAGTCCAGTTTCTGGCTCTCAAGGCAAAGAGAGCAAATCCAAATACAAGCGCAGCAAGAACTCTAAAGACAATAGTAGCAAAGCTTCGGCTTCAGCTGGAGATGGGGGTAAAAAAGAACCTACAGGTCGGACTCAAGGGGAGCCAACAGGTGCGGCAGCAAACGCTGTAGCTGCTAGCAACAATTCCGCCTCTGGAAAGAACTTGGAAAAAGGGGGCAAAGCCTCCAGAGGTGTTCTCGGTGGAAAAAAGGAGAAGGATGGTGCTAGTGGGAAAAATAAGAAAGATAAAACAGATGTTGCTCCAGTTGTGGCAATTGGTGTCTCTGAGAAGGATGTGTCTCAAGCTCAAGTTTCTTTGGGGAATAGTCGTAATGCATCCTTTGAGAACACACAATCAACAGACTTGGCAGATGCTAATCAAATGGGGAATATTGCACTTGAATCTGTTGGGATGGTACCAACGTTGATCACAAAAACTGAAGCAGTTGAAGTGGAAAATGGTAATGGTGAATGCAAGACGTTAAAGAAGATAAAGAACGAAAAGGTACGTTTTTTTTAATTGTTTATTTTTTCATTTTAATTGTTTTTTATGTTGCTTTAGTTTTGCCCTTTTGGGGGGGGTGGGGGGTGTACTGATTTGGGATCGTATGCATTCAATACATGCATTGATTTAATGTTATGTTTGTCTTGGTCAGAGAAAATAATTTTCTTGTTTTGTTGGAGACAGCTAATAGGCATGAATCTGATTAAAATGATTTGCGTCTTTTAACACATTCAGCAGTAAAAGAAACTATTCGGATTAGTGTCTTAAAGCAATCTTCTTACATTTACACATGGCTTATAATCCTATGGTTTCATATTGTCTAGTGCTCTGAACTCTGTCTTGAACAAGTTTTTAAATCTGCTAGCAGCAAAAACACTTCAGTTAGAGATTTTTTTTTAAAAAGACACTTGTGATATGGATGTTTAAAATAGAACCGGCTTTCATTGATTTTAATTTAACACAATTGGACCTACTGCTTTAGGCTTCTTGACACTGCACTTATGACAGGCTGTTTGTTTCAGCAGGCTTGGAGATACACGCTATTCCCTAAAGCAATCTGACATGTGATGCATTAAAAAGACCTACTGCTGTTTTTGCTTTTATTACCGTACGATGAATAAGGGCACCCTTGACATGTGTTATGCGGAGATCAGCTACAGGAAATGGCTTATACAGTAGTGATGTTCTTTTTCCTCCTTGACAACACAGGCTTTATTCAAATGGACAACTCCTTGTTAATTACTAGTGCAAGCGATTATCTTTGGTGATTATCTATGAAGTTTTTAGATTATTCACGTAACTCAGTAACAGCATAAATTGCAGACTGTAAGATAATGGATGTTGTCAGCCATATATTGTACAGAGCTGAAGTCAAATCGTGTTCCACTGTTTCTTTACTTAAACAGTTTCAGTGCTGACATCGTCATAAAAGAATAATATAACGATCTGTGTAGCTTTTCACCCACACTTATCTTGTTCACTCAGAGTTGATCTATCACTGTGTCTTTTGTATGCTTCATAGCAACCTTTTCATGCTCTTGTGGTATAAAAGACAGCAGAGCAGGGAGGTGCTGAGGACTGTTTTTGTCTGTCATCGTGTTCCATTCTTAATCCCACAAGCCTCAGCAATGCCTGTTGGAGCAGTGCGTGGGGGAGGGAGCTGGTGCTCAGCACGCCTTCCTGGGTTTTTTTTCCTCCTGCTGCTCTGAAAGTGGCATGGGGGATGGGCGGTGAGGAAGCCTGTTTGATTGCTTAAATCCAGGACACCCAGTCATGAACACGAGCTGGGGCGGACTGCTATGAAAGGAATTTTAGGAAAGGCTTTGTAATCATTATGTATTTAGAATGAAAGCCTTTTGAGTTGGAACCACTAGAACAACAGGCTCCAATGAAATGAAGGGGAGAGGTCAGAATTGCTTTCAAACTGCAAGTTGGTGAAAGGTATCCTTGAAAACATGATGATGGGGTTGAGAAAGTGTGTGTTGGAAGAGCGAGCCTGCATTTATCAAATTTGACGTAAAGCCATTTTGAGATTGATAATCCCAGATAATGGAGCTGTAAAAAGTAAAGACTATAATAGAGCATTTAACTCTCCTGACTCATTTTATACCTTCATTGTCTGCTTCAAGATATTTCATCTACAACGAGAGAGACAAGATAATAAACAAGGTCAAGTAATATGAACATTTTTACACAGAGTTGAAACTAGTGCGTTAGATATTTGGCTGTTCATATATATATATATATATATATATATATATATATATAAATATACTACATTACCACAATGTTTTATTACAATAAAATAACATAAATAAATAAAAACATAAAAAAATGTAATTCTGAGTAGTAAACCTCCTACTAAAATAACGTGAGTGGTTTTAAATGTCATTTTTGTGGCTTCGAGCTCAACCCAGAGCATCAGAAGAAATTAGAAGTTAAAAGAAGGACAAGCTGTTACTTATAAGTAAATTGTTAGATATTTTTTTTTGTTTGTTTTATTTTTTCAACTGTTTTTTTTCTTGGGGTTGGCCATCTATAAAAATTCAAGTTTCCTCCACAAAATAGATTAAAACCAGACACTTGCAAAAGTTTGAAGAAAAAAATCATTTCTGTCAGTTCTTTAAATGAACTTGTAATTTAACATTATTCTTTTAAGAATGAACAAAATTATATAAAAATACATTTTATTCATTTCCACAATTTAGTATTTTGAATATTTAATGCTGTGCAGACAGCGTAGTTGGTTTAGGATTTTGTTTTGTTTTTTAAGGGAAAAACTATATTATTTAAATTTAATTCAACCTTTATTTAGACACATTATCCTCAGTGCAAGAAAGCAGTCAATATTTTAGCAAGTATTAACAATGTCAAAGCAAGATTAAGACTTAAAAGCAGAGAAATCAGCCCTGTTGAGATAGCAACAAAAAAAGGATAAATCGTGTCATCTTGACCAGTTTCTTTAAGTGAGAAACCGTTCGCCCCCCGTCCGGAGGACTTTGTCAGTCTACAGCCTACCAACCAGATCTGTCCCATAGGTAGCCTTCATTGCTGTGTTTCAAGCCAACCTCCATTTGCAATCTCAGAAGTGGACTTTTAACACATGCAAAACACATCCATTCAAAATAAGCAATTATCATGTACAACAATCGTTTTAGGCCAGATGGCCAACTTCCTACTTACAGAAACAGCCTGAAGACAACCAAGGCCAAAGTGGTTCAGAAGAAGGGTTGTAAGCTCAATCGTCCAGGTAGATAACAACCAAAACGATTAAATCATGTCATCTGGACTAGGGATGCACAATATTATCGGCATGGTATCGGTCGATATTAGCGTTAAAGTTCAATATCGGACATCGGCGATTCCATTAAAATAACTCACCGATATAAAAGTCGCTGTTTTTGCCTGCAGCGGCAGCACAACGCGATAACGTTGCAGCGGCAGCGCAATGCGATGACGTCACGTGCGCCTACCCGATCTCACAGCAGAGAGGAAAATTCAAAATGTCAACCGGGTGGAAGTTTTATTTTTCGATGGTAAGGATGTCGGATTCTGAAGATTTATGGACTACGTTGAGCCCCGCCACATCGTCCCCAGTCTGAGATATTTTTCCGACGTTACGTTACCCGAGTTACAAGCCGTCATTTCCAACGTCATTGAGAAGCTAATAGCCGATAGCACAACTTGTTGGGTGAGTTTTACCACAGACATTTGGACGTCAAGTGTTAGCCCCGTTAATATATAGCACAATGAATAGACAAAAACTTTTAACTTAAAAAGACTGTCCTTCATGCACAGGAGTGCAGAGGATCCCACACTGCAGCTAGGAACCTGGAACAAGCCTCCACAAGTGAGAGCATCACAGGTGACAAATGCTAATAAATAACATTCGACATTTTTCATTTAATATAAGTCAAAGTGCTATACATATCATATGGCTGTTGCTGAATATATGTCACCAGCTCTTACAGCTGTTAAACAATTTTTGTAGCAAATAAGCCTAAATAAGAGGGCTATGTTCTGACAAAGGAACATATATAAAATATCGGCATCGGTTATCAGCCAAATAAGTTTTAACATATCAGATATCAGCCAAAAATCCAATATTGTGCATCCCAAATCTGGACCAGTTTCTTTAAGTGAGAAGCGTTTTGTCTCCCATCCAGAGGACTTTGTCAGTCTGCGGCCTGCCAACCAGATCTGTCCCATAGCTAGCCTTCACTGCTGTGTTTCAAGCCAACCTCCTGTTGGAATCTCAGAAGTGGACTTTTAACACATGCAAAACACATCCATTCAAAACAGCTCTGTTGGGACAGTTTGTTCGAACATTTTATCAAAACTAACCTGTTGTTATCTTCTATGTAACTTTTGAATAAATATTTGTCCACATAGGCAGCATTATTATTAGTCAGAAAATGTATAAAAATAATGTGTTCTAACACAAAGTATATCACAACCTTTGGCTAATCACATCACATCTGTTAGTTGTTTGTGAGAACCTTTTCAATGATTTCTGGGGTCTATCAAATATTTAACTTTCTTTTGTTGAAATTTAGAGGATGATTGACAGTTTAGCACATCTTTATACTGTTTTGTAATCCTGTTTTAACTTCACCCTTGTTTTTTAATGCTTTATTGAATTGCACAAGATAATGTTAAATTTTTGTGCAACAGTACAAGTACGTTTTTTGTTTGTTTAATTAGGATTGTTTAAGGGTAGAGTTAAAGACATTGTAACCTTTTTTCCAAATTCTCTGTTAATCCACTGGAGTTACATTTGTATAATTCAAGCATTAATCGATATGTCTTTCACCATTTGTTCACTATGGTGGTGTTATAGCTGTGGCCACATTGTCTGTGTCCTTAGTTAAAGCTCCCCAAAGCATTGGCTCTCAGATGCTGAATAAATCATCTGTACTTCCTTCGTACAAGTGCTAACCACCTTGTGAATGTGTCTCACTCTCCAAACTCTCATTGTACAAATCTAGAGGAGTGAGGCATTGTCAGCGTCCTCGATGTGCCACTGGCCTTGATAAATGGAGCAGCTCTCATGGAAAATTACATTGGTGGTGTTACTTTCAGGACAGGAGAGAGAAAGGAATGGCTGCATTTGAATGAAAGAGCACTGCCGGCATTCTGCATTGCTGCTGATGTTTAGCTCTGGAGGCAGAGGGATCTCTTGAGAGCTAGCTTGAGTTCTGTTTCTTTGCTTGTGCCTGACAGACCGTTGCTTTTGTGCTACAGCTCATTCCTTTTAGGTAGTGCCAGGGAATTTATAGGCAGTGGAACAGAAGAGAAGCCGACTGATTTTTAGTAAGGGGTGCAAGCTAAGAATGAGCTCAATTCAAAGTTAAGGCTGCTCCATTGTGGGAGAAAAATATTTGGTTAGTATTGATATCACAACTATTTCACACAATTACTCATTGAGTTTGGAAACTTTTTTTTTTTTTTTTGCACATAAAGGACGATACATTGCATTAAATGTAAAATTTGCCATGGTA